TAAACTGCTGGTAAATTGATCGCATGTTTATTTTAGATCTGTGTGGCAGGCAGCAGCAATATACAGTAAATAAATCAATAAATCCACTGCTCTCTTGTGTCCTCTGAGGCTGGGACTCTAAACAATGTTCTGTGCTCATCTGTGCAGCCAAAGACAGAACAGTTAGCATGTTTTGCTCAAACTTTCGCCATGGCATTAGAACTAGTACACCGTTGTCGCTTGCGAAATCAAATGATGGCTCCGTGGGTGGAAACTTACAGATTAAGGGGCGGTAATATTATGAGATCCCTTTGCCACGTCACTAGGGGAGCGAAATCAGACGCGCTCGTTTTCTCAGACGCTTGCAGAAAAAGGCTTACTAAAACAAAGTTACTGGGTTAATCTTTTTCATGTTTCCTTGGTTGGTAGATGCACTGGGGACCTGATTATAGCACTTAAAACCTGGAAAAGTCAGATTTTCATGATGTGTCACCTTTAAAGATACAATTTCTTTTTAATTCTACTGTTTAAATCGTTTTACAAAGAAATTGCATAAAGCTAGCATAACACCTTTGCTCCCAAACATTAGAATTTGAAGATGGAATTTGAATTATTGTTTTCCAGTGCAAATCTCTAAAGACTCTTAAAACAAGATACATTTACTTGAGAAGCAAAATTACGTAAGATAAGTCGTCTTGTTTTCTGTGAAATGTGAAGAACAAATATCTGGCAATGGGCTTAGAAAAGTAAAATTAATTCCAACAGAAAAGTACATTTTCACACTGCATTGACAGATATTGTTTGTGTTTTAAGAATAAACTCATTTAATTTAGTATAATTTCTCAGAAAACAAGAGTTAATTTTTTTCAAAAATAATTAATTTTTTTGCAGTGCAAGCAGCATTTAATGCCATGCCTTTAAATTTAAGACTTTCTCCTCCAAACTCGGTCCTGGGGGGCCAGCTTTCCTCAACACACCTGCCTGGAAGTTTCTAGTATGCCTAGTAAGACCTTGATTAGCTGGTTCAGGTGAGTTTAATCAGGGTTGGAGCTAAACTCTGCAGGACACCGGCCCTCCAGGACCGAGTTTGGAGACCCCTGCCTTAAATTGTTGAAGTGTAAATTAAGACTTTTTAAGACCTTTTTAAAGCTTGCAGAAACCCTGCAATAGCACTTCTTTTACACTTCACTGATCATAGAAACTCACCCTCAGGAATCAACAAAAATGAACACAGTCATTTAAAGCCAGCAAATGAACAGCATCACATTCTTACCATATCAGCCAGTGCAATGTAGAGGAACATGCCTCCGGCTAGAGCAAAGATCCAGTTAGGAGAGAAATTGTTACCAGCCAGGATTCCGAAGCCCATGCCCAGATAACAGCAGCACGCTGACAGGAAGTTAAAGAAGAGTGCCTGCTGGATGCTCATGCCAGCGTTTAGCAGGATTACAAAATCACCTGGACACACAGATGCAGCAGAGCATTTACATGACTACAGACTCCGCATGTTAATGGCCATTTTTGATTGATCATATAACAGAGTCAGTAATACCCACCCAACTCATGTGGAAACTCCTCACACAGAATTGCCACTGATGTACTGATGCCCTGAAACACAGAAGCAGTGAAGGAGGCTCCGATAGCCAAACCATCAATGAAATTATGCAGACCGTCGCTCAAAGTGATCATCCATGCCAGAGTACCGATGTCAGAGTATGCCCTGCCCTTAAGCCAATAACATCCACCCGTTCCAGCACCACCTGAACTCTGAGAGTCCTGTGACAGGGACACAAATACAGGAAAAATGAAGAAGTGTATACAGTAAATATCCATTTCCATTCAGACGTCTGGAGTAAGACTTTTCTCTTATGCTCACCAATGCTGCATTTATTTGACCAAAAACACAGTAAAAACAGTAATACTGTGCAATTTTATTAAATTGAAATAGCTGTTTTCTGTGTGAATATATTGTAAAATGTCATTTTTTCAGCCATTACTCCAGTCTATAGTGTCACATGATCCTTCAGAAATCATTCTAATATGCCGATTTATTATCAATGTTGGAAACAGTTGTGCTGCTTCATATTTGTTTTAAGCCTGTGGTACTTTTCAGTATTCTTTGATGAATAAAACATTAAAAAAGAACAGAATTACTTGTACAATTACTTTACAATACTTGTAACAATATACACCACTGTTGAGGTCAGTATGTTTTTTTATTTATTTCTTTGAAAGATATTAATACTTTTATTCAGCATGTATATGTTAAGTGATAATTAAGACTTACTGTATATTGTTACAAAAGATTTCTATATTTTTTTTTTTACCTCTATTTGTAACCTTAGAGGAACAGCACCCAAAATAAGATGAAACAACACTGGCAATGCATTTGACGTCTGCAACATTAAATCTGATTTTTGAATGACTTAATATAGAGAGAGTGATATAATGTAGTCTGGTACTTCATTTTATCCATTAGAATTTGATTGAATCACAAAACATACTCTTTTAGCTTCTGCAGGGTTCTTGTAGCTCGGATAAGAAAAAGTTGTTTTCGATATAGATGCGGTTGCATTTTAATGAAAGTTATAAAAACTATTTTTTCCTTAAAAAAACCTAACGCGCTGATGAATCATGTCGCATTTACATTTTCCTGAAATTATGGCAATTATAAGAAGACAACTCTGAGATGCCATTCACGTCCTCAGACTCAGAAAAATGTGTTTCTATGGCAACTCTCACAACATGACTGGCTTTGATGACAGCAAAATTACTATATTATTGTTCACATCTATATGCTCTTGAAGCACATTCATTATATTTTGGTTTCGTTTACATGGCATCAGTCATTATTCACAGATGAATGAAAAAAAAGTCAGAGCATTCATAAATTGAGAGTTTCCAAGCTGTAATTATAAATTCAACAAAGATCTGGAAAGTTTTTACAAGCTGGAAAATCATAATTACAGTAATACTGGCATGACATTAACATGCCAGAACTAAATAGGGTCAATTTTGATTTCAAGTTGTTTTTAAGGGATATAATTGTGGCTTATAGTCACTTAAGCCCAATTAATTGAAACAACAGATTACCAAATAATTTTGTGAACTGGAAAATATTTTTAAGCAAATTGAAATTTGTAGTTTCTTTTATTCCTCACCTGTACTGTCTGCCCAGTGCTGATCATTTTGTCATCTTCTCCAAGCCCTCTGGCATCACCTTCCACTCTGGGTAAAGATGCTTCTCCAGCCTCTCCATTCTGCAGTTTCTCCATCACACCATCCTCCAAGTCACCATTAGAGTTGGCATAGCGCTCTGCAGGAAAGTGACTGTGGCCGTGGCCATGCCCCCCCTAACACAAGAGACAATTAGATAATAAGAAACGCAAGCAGAAAAAAATGAGTGAGTAAATAAGCTTGCAAAGACATTTCTCCACTAGAGGGTGCTGCATTACAACACATTACAATCTCAAAAGCAAAAAGTTCAATAATAAATCTTCTGATTCATGTAAAATTATTTGCTGGCTCTGGCCAAACCATTACAGACCACAACAAAACAGTTAATGTATATTTATGACTTAAGCTTTTTAGGTTCCTTTTTTAACATCGTTTTCAAATTGTCTTTCAAAGAATACTACAAATGAATAGTGCAGCCACTGAGGAGCGACAACCAGACATGCACATATTGTACATACCGTTCACACATTCCAAAGCAAAACTTCATGAGATTGAACTTTACAAAGTTCTAAAAGTAAAATCCTCCTCGTGCTTTTTTTGATGTCACTGGGAACCCATGTCACAATGACAATGTCAGATAAAGCGGTTTCATGGTTTACTTGAACAGATCATTAGTCCAAGGCAAGCTCACCCTTTCCTTTGGCTTTAAGATCATCTTCAGGATTTTCTCTGTAAAGAAGAACAGGTAGAATCCTCCAAACACGACAGCAGACTTGGGCACATAATAATCTTCCATGAGGTCAAATCCAAAGGCCTATATACAGAAAAAAAGCATGTTTTAATGTGTCAAATACTACTTTATTCAAACTAATATAAAATAATATAGCATTTGTTATTAACGTCAAATCATGAAAACTTGTGTTTTTATTAACATAAAATTATGCACAGAATGCTGAAAAGCACTACAATTTAAAAGTTTGGTGTCAGTAAGATTAAAAAAATAATAATACTTTTATTTAGCAAGAATGCATTCAATTGATCAAAAGTGACAGTAAAGACTTTTATATTGCTACAATGCTGTTCTTTTGAACTTTATTCATAAAATAATCCTAAACAAATATATAGCACAGTTTCCACAAGAAATTAAAGCCGTTTTCAACATTGATAATAACAAGAAATGCCTTCAGAGCATCAAATCAGTATATTGTAATATTTTCTGAAGGATCATGTGACACTGAAGACTGGAGAAATGGCTGCTGAATATTCAGCTTTGGCATCACAGGAATAAATTACAGTTATTTTAAATACTACAAATATTTCACATAAGACCCCAAACCTTTGAACAGTAGAGAACGCTGCATATGTGTTAGCAGACTGAATGTGTGAATGAGTACATAATATACTTAGTATGGATACAATCTAAATACAAACCCCTAATCACTCTCCTAGACACCAGAAACAATCAATTGGGCTTTTTTTAAACAGTATTCTTCACATTTATTTCACACTTGGTTACAAGCTGTCAAGAAGAGTGAGTATGGGATTTATTTTAGATGGGGTCTTAGTGTAGTTCATTAATGCCTCAGGGCTCCCCCCCCACCCCCCATTTTGTTTGGTTTTCACCTCTGTATTATGATTTTTTATTTATTTTTCACGAATTACGCCATTCACTTATAAGTATACATTTGAATAGTTCACAGTCAGATAAATGTAAAACTTAAACGTGTGCTCCAGTTCCATGCCATCTTGCCTCAAAAAAGTACATTAAATGGTCATTACTATGATTATAATAAGTCCAGTGAGAACTCCAACAACAACAACAAAGGTTCTATGGATCAATACAAAGTTTACGGATCGTTTTTTACTCTATTTTCTAGGCCTCCAGCTGGGGAGAACCACTGAGGCCAGAAAGACTTATATGTGTGCTTAAAGGGAATGTTCACCTGAAAATGACAATTCTGTCATCAGTTACTTACCCTCACATTGTTCCAAAACATACTATTTTATTATTTAGAACAACAAAAATTGATTTTTATCTTTTTTTGCACTATGTCCAATCTGCTATTTCGCATACAATAAGAATGATTCAAATTCACACCGACCAACTTCTATTGATCGGCTTCAGGAAACACTAAATATTATGTACTGTAAGTATCTGCGTATCGGGAGTCTAAACTAGTCTATTTTAATACTTTTATGTCCTTTTTTGAGCTTGACGGTGTAAGAAACTGTAGTCTGCCCCGACTCAGATTCCACTCCACAACAGATGTTTGATCATGCTCATTTCCCAAAATGGCTTAATTATTACAGAGGACAAGAAAGTCAACAGTTATGTTGTTTCTGCACCGTTTGGAATGATCACATCATGAGCAAAAGGTAACCAATTGTAGAATGGGAATGGGTGTGGGACACCGAGAACCATCTCAGCCAATGGGGTGTCAGAACTTCATTAACATACAGTTGTTACGAAAGGAGCAACTTCATTTACATTAAGGGTAGCAAACTGTAACTGTATAAAAGGTTTGAGTTTAGGATGTTTGGGGTTCATTCCGACTCAGTTGAACCCAAGATACTACATGTACTTTGTCACTGCTATACTGCAATAAACATCTTCATCAAATCCATTTTTATTGTACAGAAAACAGCAGTTTGGACATTGCATAAAATAGTTAATAAATAAATAAATCAAGTTTAATAGAAAAAAAGTAAACATATTTAAAAGAATATAAGGGAAAGACAAATAGAATAAATAATTTGCATAAAGAAAGATAAAACCTAAAAATGCGTAGCGATAACTCAACGTTTTCTTGATTTTGCATAAAATATTTTCATTTGTTCTGTACATAACGTCTGGAATGCCATGTGGGTAAGTAACTTAAACCGTTTCCTTTTGAGTGAACAACTCCTTTAAATGCCAGACTCGACATATAAACTCTAAAATCTAGAACTCTAGATAGAGTGGAATTAGAACGGTCTTCAGTCTGGTTGTGTGGCACACGTCTATAAACCCGTTTCCCCCACGTGTCCACTCTACCTCTGGGATTAGTTGAAAGAGGGCGTTGGAGTACAGAGTACCAATGGCCAGGGCTATGAAGTACAGCAGCAACCGCTTGTAAAAGGTTTTCCTCATGAAGGGAACCACACTCGCCCCGAACAGTGAACACAGAGATATCACTGTCACACACAGGAAACCATATCCCCACACTGGCCAACAACCAGAAGATAGACAGAGAGAGACAACAAGAGAAGTGGAAAAGAAAGGGAAAAAAAGAAGAAAGAATATATTAATTAATCAGCTAAATAATTAATACTTGGTGAAAGATTGATATTTATAATCTCAAACGGGAGATTTACTCCCTGAGGTGAAAAATTCAGTTCTGTGGGCCACTGAATGATCAAATCAATTCATGCAACCACAATGAGTTTTTACATTTTAAGAAAATATACAATATTAAATCTCATTCATAAATTGCACAGATTTGATGTCAATTTATAAAATTAATTAATAGCAATAAATCAAACATTTCAGAGTCATACTATTACACTACCGTTCAAAATGTTAGGGTCCATACATTTTTTTTTTTTTAAGTTTCTTATGCTCAACAAAGCAGCATTTATTTGATAAAAAATACAGTAAAACTAGTAATATTGTAAAATGTTACTATAAATTTTAAATAACTCTTCTAGTTTAATATATTTTAAAATGTAATCAATTCCTGTGATGGCAAAGCTGAATTTTCAGCTTTTTCTGTCTTTCAGGATTCTTTGATGAAAAGAAAGTTCAAAAGAACTGCATTGAAACAAATCTTTTGTAACATTATAAATGTATTAAATGTCACTTTTGAATAATTTAATGCATCCTTGCTGAATAAAACCATTCATTTCTTTCAAAAACAAATGACTGACTCCAAACTTTTGAATGGTAGTGTAAGGTAATGTTGTTCACATTTTAAAATCCATTGTTTCATTCACAGAGGAAGTAGGGGGAGGCGGCTTCCTGTTGACCAAATGATGCCTTGAGACATGGTCACTGAAAATCATTCAAACCTGACAGGATAGCTGAAAATACTCCTCCTCCTCTCAGCCTATACCTCCTTAAACACCAGAGGTAACAGAGGAACTGAAAACACCCGTATTCATGTTGACCAGCCAATGAACCATCAACACCCAGCACACAAAAGGTGTACCTGTAGCTCTGCTTGAGCTATGACAGCACCAACAACCCAACATACAACATCCAACACTTAATTAGCTCTATCCATACCCACTGAGCCAGTGAATAAATGTAGTGTTAGTGGTCTACTGTAAAAGCAGCATTCAGGGGTAGAGGAACAATCTGAAAAGTGGTGGAGGCAAACTGAGGCAGCAGGTATTGATCATCTCCGATAAAGTGTGGGAACAATCATCAAACATTATGTTGGCTTAACAATCCAAAACCAAAATTCCCAACTTCTCCTACAGCTTTCAAGGTACAGTGGGTAAAGAAAAGAATTACCCCCTTTTAAAATAATCACATTTTGTTGCTTTGCAGCCTGAAATGTAGACGGTCACAGTTGCTTTGCAGCCTGAAATGAAGACTGACACAGTTTTTATTTTATCCAGCTGTATTTACTCAGTGCAACTTATAACACCCAAGTGAAAGATATAACACCAACATGTCAGAAAAAAAAAGAGTCACTGAGCTGGAAAAAGTATCACCCCCTCCTAAAAATGACTTTTAAACTCAATCAGGTGTAGCTAATCACCTTCACAATGGCACACAAAGCCATTTGCCTTTCAACTGTGATCAGCTGTGGTCATTTTGATCAGCTCAGCATGAAAAGAGCTTTCCTGGAGCACTGCAGGCATTGGTAGTGCAACTGAAGCAAACAATCAACTATGGGTGGCAAGGCACTGTCAAAAGATCTCAAGGATAAAGTTGTGAACAGGCACAAGTCAGGAGATGGATACAAACAAAATTCAAAGGCTTTATCAATGCCTAGAAGCACAATGAAGTCTATTATTAAGAAGTGGAAGGTATTTGGTACAACACAGACCCTCCCTGGATCAGGACGCCACTCCAAAATGGATGAAAGAGCCGGAGGAAACTGGTCAGAGAGGCTACTAAGGGGCTGTTTACACCTGGTCACTTTATGCGTTTTGTCTGATCAGATAGTTATCCAATCGTGAAAAGACCAGGTGTAAATGGACATTATAGTCAGATATGACTGCGCTAATGCAACACGCATCGCCACGGACGAGTAGCTGAGCATCTCTTCAGCACGCACAAACTGCCGTGAATTAAACAAAGTAAGACGCAGACGGTCAACACACAACCATCTTCATTAAAAGTAGTAAGACAAACTTATCTTTCCAGTGCTGATGCCGCGCGCTCTCCTATTGCGGTCTTTGATCTTGAAATGAGCCGATAATTAATAAAATGCAGCGCTTATCTTTTGATTTCGTTGATGTGAACTCCGTTAAATTTAAATATAGCGCGGGAATTGAAGATCGGATTTATATCCGTTTTGCGATGACACATTTATGTGGCCAAGTGTAAATGGAAACGTTTTAACAAATCAGGTAGATATCCGATCAGCGAAAACGCATGAAATGACCAGGTGTAAACAGGCCCTAAGAGGCATATAGCAACTCTGAAGCAGTTGCAGGAATTTATGACAAAGAGTGGTCATTGTGTGCATGTGACAATAATATCACAAATTCTCCACAAATGTGGCTTGTATGGGAGGGTTGCAAGAAAAAAGCCACTCCT